TGAAACTTCCAAACAGAAGTGTTTCAGGAACAATTGGAATAATAGACCTGGGATGGAGACATGGATTTGGGAGTGACCCACTGGAGACAACCATGGGATTGAATAAGAGTACCCCGGGACAGAGAACAGAGAAATACAGAAGAGGCCAGATTCAGGGTTCTCTGCAGCACCAACATTTAGGAGACAGTCACAGAAAGAGGAGCGTGTATATGAGGTCCACTTTAATATAATCCAATGTATAAGGTATGAGTGCAGTTTAGGAAGCCTCTTTCCCCCATCTTCATGTTTGTTTCTTAATGTCCTAATACATTGATTTGTTCCACTTAGATTTATTGTTCTACGTGCAAGGAGGAATTTGCTTAGATGCTTTGTGATGCAAATGAGTCAGTGCCATCTTTTTTTCTAAGTTGAATTGAAAAGATTTTATCATACTCTTTACTGTTTTCCTATTGCAATTTGTACACATGTCTAATACAGCATTATCACAAAGTACTGCAATTATTTATACATCTGCCTCCCACTAAAGTACAAACTCCTTGAGATCAAGAACGATGGATTCCACGTGCCCATCTGGCACACTCTTACTCATCATGCAAGGCTCAACTCCTACTTCCCTTTCGAGAGGTTCCCTGGCTTCCCCAAGCCTAGAACATAGTAGGTGCAAGCCATAAAGGTATGAAAGCATGGCAAGCTCAGGAGACAGTAGAGAGCTGGGTAAAACCAGAGCATGAAATGTGAGGGGAGAGGATGGGGAATGAGCTCAAACAAGCAGGCCTGGGTGAGAGAATAAGGAACCTGGTGTGCCAAACAAAAGCATAAACTTAGAACATTCCACCTTAGATCTGTTTGGTGGCATGTGAAGGATGGACCAGAGGATGTAAAACTAGAGGCAGGGAGGCTAATCAGGAAGCTCTTATAGGCAATGAGAGCCTGAACTTGGCCCAGGACAGAAGGGATGGAGAAGAGGCATGGATATGAGAGGTATGTTATCGCTTATTTGATGCCAGGATTGAAGAAAGGACAGAGTCAATGGCGACACTCGTTGTCTTAGTCATCTAGTGCTGCTGTAACAGAAATACCATAAGCAGATGGCTTTAACAAACAGAAATTTATTCTCTCACAGTCTAGTAGGCTACAAGTCTAAATTCAGGGTGTCAGCTCCAGGGGAAGGCTTTCTCTCTCTGTCAGCTCTGGA